GTGTGTGTGTGTGTGTGTGTGTGTGTGTGTGTGTGTAAGGGGTGAGGATAGGACAAGGAACAGCAAGGTGAGATCGCGCGCGGTCCGTAGCCAGTTTGTTAGGGCACTGCTCCGGCATTCGCCTGGTGCTGATCACTACGGAAAACTACCTATCAGAGCAGTCGGTCGCTAGAATGCTCCTCCAGACAACTACTGAATTCGACCTAGCTGGCAAGCTAGTGTCGAAAACCCCGCAACCGTCGGGACTCGAACCTAGGACCTCCAGGTGAGAGGGACTGCAGTGACATCAGTTGATGCCCTGAATCATCTCTTCCGGTGCGTTGGAAGACTTTATCAATGACTTAACGCCGGTTTTCTTGGTGTTTGTAGTGCCAGAGTTAGAATAGTTTCTTGTATTCCATGCTGGTTGGGGATTTTTATGAGTTGCATTTCCATGAAGTTGCTTATGATTATTTGAAGATTGTGGAATTATGGAATTTGAAGATGGGAGAAGTTATTTTGAATGGAGTTAATGGGGAGGGAAGTCTGAATCACTTGGGACTATTTGCTTCTCTTTAGGAATTGAATCTGTGCATTTTCTCTGTTGATTTCTACTTTTCATATATTTCTTGTATTCTGCTCATCCTTTGTAGTTGACTGGATGATTGTCAGAACATAAAGCGCAGATTGCTTGTTTGTTTTTTCCCTAGCGAAATGAGAATTCAAGAAAACGTGCGCGGATAATACAGTACTACTGTAAGTGTGCTCACAAGCTTCCGATGCTCAACTATTCTGCTAATAAGTTCACAACCATAAAAATATTAAAGCAAGGCCAACTATTACTACTTTAAGGATATATTAAAAAAAGTGAGTAGAACACTGCCTCAAATATTATGCATTTCTAAACATGTTTAAGTAAATTTGTTATTAGTCGGAAATGAATGGCAGATCGATCAAAGTAAAGACATTTCAATATTCAAAATAAGAACTACAGGTAATGTATCATTAAACGAAAATAGAGAGAAAATAAAGTAAACAAAATATTGAATTTCCATACCTTTTTGATTTAAGATAAAAAATTTAAACTCAGCTATTTTCTGCGCAAACGTGTTCACAGTATTTCATATTCTCTGTAAATTATACTTTACATACTACACTTTATAACGAAGAAAAAGTGACTTCAAAAATGTAGTTGTTTCAAAAATACGTAAACATTTCAAACTTTATTTTCACATGAGAATATCTATATACTTCCGTAGGAAAACAGTACTAAATTATAGATTTAATAATGACCGCTTTCAAGTAAAAAGTATGTGAGATGATAAATTAATTCATTTATCTTAAATACGATGCAGGATCAGGTATACAGACTTGTTCTCTAATTTTTCGTTATCCATAGTACATATGTTTATATTTTGCTGCAATAATTGCATAAACAAAGGAACTTCGAATGTAATTTAAAAATATAATATATTTACCATTGCTCGGTTGTGCAGTTTAGGAATGAATTTTAGATAATGTTTAATAATGAAGTCTTTGGATTAATCTTATGATTATAAAAGATATGAGAAATTTTAGCTAAGTGCCTGGCGTTTAAGCAGTTTGAGGCATAGGACAAGTTGGAATATCGTAAACAAATACCACTAGTATAATACTTAAGGAGGGGCGATCATTCACAAAATAAAATGATTATCCTGATGATTAAAATAATGATGATTATCCTGGCAACCAACTCATAGGGTAGCCACCTCTTCGGGTTTGACCCAGACTTTCCTGGTTTCAGAAGTAATCTTCTGCATCGGTTAATATGGAAAATCTCATTATTATGCAATCAATTACATTCGTTGTGAAAAATTGTACAGAATTGAAGTACGTAATATGATGATGCGCATGATAACGGTATTGTCTTTGGCTTATCACATTTAATTCACACCATCGTGTGGAAAAAAGAACCCGTATATTCCTGTTTCACATTATTTTTTTCTTCTTCTTGAAAATTATTACTACAATAAATAATAATTTCAATATACAAAATTTCAGATTAAAAAAACAGCACGAAATATCGATACAACCCGAAAGCCGCCATAAAGCGATATAATGCGATTCGAGCGCATGAGTTTTTTTCTCAGTAGGATCACTATAATATTTAGATGTAGTTATTCCCGTCATGAATATGTATAACCCATAAAAATACAAATTATTACACTTATTCCTAGATGCTACGGTCTAGAACGTGGAGCTCCATGGCCTAGAAGATTGAGACTATGCATCGTTGCTAAGTATCAATACTTTATTTATATAATGTAAAAAATAATACTCAAAATCTATTTTATTTCACTACTATACTTAATTATATTTAACAGTGTAACTTAAAAATAAAATATTCATTGTGACTAATTTTGTGACTCCTCCGATTCAAATCAGTTTTGCTTCCACAAGGAGGCAACCCTCCTAACTAATGAGATGGAAAACAGAAGATGACCATATTTCTGAAACCAAAATCGTCTTTCATGGCAATTAAATAGAACTTGTACTTCACACAAAATGCTGAAATAGTTAATAACGTTATTGGTACTAAAATTTGAGGGGAAGGTCCAAAACAAATAAGCGAATCGTCAAAATAATTCAGTTTTTAACAGCTCTTTTGAAGTTGGATTTAAGGTCATTTTATTGACTTTTTGGGATTATATTTCAATTTCTGTGTGTTCTTTAGTTTGGCTATATCAAGCAAATTTTGAATCACAATTCGAATTTTTTGCTGAAAGTGGAAAACAATTTTGCCACGTGTCAAATCGTTGCGGTATCAACAAACGGAAATTATTCTCAGAGGTAACATATTCCATTAGTGCTACATTCACGAATGACTTAATATGTTTACCAGAACAAAAAAATACAAATCATGTCATACGGGAGAAAAGCAATATTTTTAACAAATTCCTAGTAGTCATCTTCAATTTCAATATTATTAAAGCTTGTAAAGACAATGGCAGAAATATAGTAGCGCTATTCAGCTGTTTCATTAATAAGTCTTAGAAGAATTTCCTTCTGAATATATTTTTGTAATCCAAAGATGGCATTTAATAAATACGCAATCAATGACTTAAATCTTGCCAATAAACGAATTTTGATGAGGTGAGTGAGAAAGCAAGCTGGCTTTGAAATACGTCAATGAATTTATATTTCGATCGTTTTCATTTAATAAACAATTAGATCTCTCAACAAAAACATTGAAAATAACAAATTTATTGTAATCTCAATACTTTTATGAATCACACTTTGAAATCATGATCTTGTAAAATATTAAATTGGTGTAGCAGTTACATTTCAATTGTTTAAGCAGTTGCTTATTTGAGCCAAACCCTGAATTACGAAAATAAACTAAACATATAAATTCACTTTGCCCAATTTGACCTCGAAGTCCATTTGCGCAAGGAGAGGAAGTGGCCTGACCTCTCAAAGAATGACAGTGGTTGCAACTTTGCACGCTCATCACTTCTTGATTTCACCTATTACACTGAGATAGCCTGGGCTGGAACATCATCGGAGAAAGATGATATAATTGTAAAGTCACTAATGCAATAATTCAATTACGAAATTCATTGTGTAACTACTTTAATGAGAAAGAAAATGGATATTGTAGCGAAAAATATATGTTTATTGGTAATCGAAGTTCTTTGCCCTGATATTTTTATGTCACTTTGTTTTTATATGAATATAAGCAGTTAAACTAAAATTTTATTTAACATTTTTTAACTCTTGCATGCAACTATAAAAGACTCAACGTAGCCAAAATCCAGTATAACTTGCATTATTTTTTTTAATGGTGCTTAAAATTGATAATTCCAGTTTCAGTAATAACCTGTTATCCTTAACAAGCATTCGCCGAAACGTTTTACACTACTAACAAATTTCCCCAGACCGTTCACACTCTCAAAATATCTTCTGTTTAAGTTTTCTACAACTATTTTCTTTTTATGTAATATGTTTCACATCCGTTTATAAGTAAACATGCAGATACCGAAAGAGTGATATAGATTGTTATTTTTAATGAATTTAAAAGCAGACTTAATGGTCCTATTTAAAATCATCAAAAATAATAATTGGTTTAAAAAAATATATGAATCACTTCCCCCCTCTCTCTTTCCCTCCTTCTATCTCTTTCTCTTCCTCCCCCTCTCTCCGGATCTCACTCTCTCCCTTTCCGTCACTCCCTCTCTCCTTGTGTCTTCCTATCTCTCCCTCTCCCTCCCTATCTCCCCATTTCTCTCTCTCTCTCTCTCTCTCTCTCTCTCTCTTTCTTAGTTTCTTTCTCTTTCTCTCAAATATTTTTGCATGTGTGTGTATACAGGCTGCTCAATGTACATATTGTACAGCCAGCTGCAATAAAAATGTACAAGGCCTTGAACCCAGGCCTTGAAAACTACATTCTACGTCCACGTTAGATAAAGCTAAGTTGCATCTTTTTCATATTTATTTTGCTTTCAGATTCCATAAATCACATCTATCTCAGAATTAAAAAGTTACAAACTTCTACTACTGTAGAGGGGTCGAAGATCACCATTCGCCAATTAACAAGTTGCCGGAAATTACATAAAACGAAGTGACTCATATGATATTACTAATTTGTCCCCGACTTTTAGGCTACTCTTCATTCGCAGGTGTTCGACAGGTCAACAGTATCTTCGACCACGTCAGAACATGATCTGGCGATCACAAGAGCATAGAAGGTTGTCTAACAAGAAGGGATATACATCATATGTGTATCTTCATTATACAAATATTAAATTATGCGAAATCTATATGATGTTACGAAATACTTCAAATTACCTACATGTTAATTGACAAGAAATAATCATCTTCGACCACTCTACAAGCACGAGAAGTTTGTAACAATTATTCTGAGTCAATATGTATATCGAGGTAAAATTTAAAAGTAATGATATTCTAGTATGTCAAAATGTTCTTGAAGGATGGATTCATTTATTGTAAAGATGAGTTTTAGCTCCGAATAGGGATCGAACTGAGAAAATGCTAGAAGTTATTATAGCGACAAAGTGTCTCAAGGCAGGGACCCATAAAATCAGTTCGGCTCGAAACCTTGAGAAAGACGATGTTTTATATTCTAATGTTCTGATGCAGAATGATCTAACAAGTTTCTGCGGACCTAACTTCTCTGCACGATGGTGGACGTTAGCAGGCCTCTTGTGTTCAGAAACTCAATAAAGGCCGCAAACTGAGGTTAAATACCAGGAATGGAAAGGAAATAAAAACAAAATACGAAGAAATGCCGCACATACCTAAAAAAATAGGAATGGTCACTTACTACCAAGATAATTTTCATCTGCAATGGGGAATAGTGATTTAATAGCTTTCTAGTATAATACATACATTTTCGGGAAATGTCTTAACTGTAGTACGTAAAACAGGAAGTATAAATTTGCTATTGTAGTAAAATAATATCTTTATTTTTTTATAAATTAATATTTGCTGAAGCCTGCATAAATGAAGCAATTTTTGGAAAGATCAAATCATTTCAAGACTTCTATAGTCTGGAGGTGCATAGGTGCTTTGTACCACTACCCCTCACTAACGAACTAGTGGCACTACAGAATGGCACAGACTTTCGCGTATTATTTTTGTATATCCTTTGGTCTCGATCCTTTTGCGATATTCGGACTTGTCACATAATCTTGCCATCTGCCATCTATCGCCACCCAAAATACATTTTTTTGACATTTGCAAAAAGTTTGCAATTTTTGAAAATAAAAGGAATTTACCATAAATGAGTTTACCGCCGTTACCGTTTTCTGTTATGTACGAGGAGAATATTTAAAGAAGAAATTCGGAGCAGTTAAAAAAACTTGTTAACAAAATTTAAAAATGGCTATATTTCTCGCATAATCTCGCACTTCTATTTTCAAAACACTGTACGTGACATTATTTCAAGATGTCTTTAAAGAACAGATTTAAGGTTAAAGATTTAAGATCATTAAGGAAAAATCTTTATCTTCAATATAATAGTAGTTGTAGGAACACACCGAAAAAATTAAAATTTTTGCAATTTTCGAAAACTCAAAAATTTTATCGAAAATGAGACCTACATCATTCACTTAAGCGTCCTTTAGGCTATCCAAGGACAAAGTTAATCAAAAAATTTGTATCCATTTTTGAGAAAATTTTGAAAATGTTGAGCCTTCATGTAAAATATTCGCAAAAATCAAAATATCCGTTTCAAACTCACAAGTATCTGAGCTCAGTTATGTCGATTGGGATTTTGGAGAAAATCGGCTGAACAGTTTAGCGCTAACGTGTATCACGGACGGACTGACGGACTGACGGACTGACGGACTGACGGACTGACGGACTGACGGACTGACGGACTGACGGACTGACGGACCGACGGACCGAAGGACCGACGGACCGACGGACCGACGGACCGACGGACCGACGGACCGACGGACTGACGGACTGACGGACGGACGGACTGACGGACAGACGGACAGACGAACTGACGAGCGGACAGACGAGCGGGCGGACGAACGGAGAGTCATTTTCCCGTCAATCGATTTTTCGGTATCAAGGGCCACAAAATATGGATGACTATACAAAATTCTTCGTTTTCCGGCGCACGATTACAATACTTTCTGATGTGGACGGTCGGGCAGACGGAAATACACACAGACAGACGTTTAGAAAGAAAAAGCTTTTGCAATATCAGGGGGGTCGAAAAGTATATTTCCATTACAATCTCGAAATCGATGTTCCGCAGCATTTGTACTGACTTTCTCTAAACTACAGTACATACTGATATACTGTATATCATTCCGTACGTAAACGAGAAAGTTAAAAGCGTGTAAAAATTAAAGAAAATGTAATCCAACTGTTTGTTGTGTATGCCAAGTGTGTGTTGGTAAGTATAGTTTCAACAACTAATAGGCAATTGCTGTGGCGATATAATTTCAAAACTTCATAGTTGAAATTGTGAATTTAATTTCTTAGTAATCACTACTAACAGCAATCATCAATTAGGTTTGACAAATGTGTGTTGTAATTACTTTACTCGTAGTTACTAGTTAAAAATAGTTTGTTCATAATCTGTAAACTATTGCCCGTTTCTGCTTCAAACACCATTGTGAAGCGCATTATAGTTTACCCTCTTTTCTAACAAGTTGCTGCATTACTTTCATTTAAGAGAAATATTACTAATCCTAAAATTAAAATTTAATATCTTTTAAAGAGATATATTAATTGAATATTGAAGATACCACAAACATTAACAGTATTATTTTCTCAATAGTGTTGAAAATAGTAATAGCGTTTCGCAAATGTAGAAAATTAAATGACTTAAAAATTTAAAAAAAATTCGCGCAATAAAAGATACTTAGCAAAATTTAGTCAATTTTATCTTTTTCCATAAATTGATTTATTTAAAAAAACTTACAACTGTGCGGAACGTACTATGGGGAGAAATGTGCAAGTTTTTTTTAATATTCTGGGATCCCTACCCTAACTGATTTTGTCTACGTATTTTAAAAATGTTGTACTCATTTCTTCTTGGTCATTTGATTTATTATCGTAATGCTTTCCTCGTAATGTTTTTCCGTCATCATCTCATCTATATTTTTGATTTTCTCCGACGTCATATTATCCACTTGTGAAAACCTGTCTCTCTTAGTGATTCTTTTAATTATTCGCTTAATATTACAGCACATCTATTTTGAATACTATCAACATTTGATACCCTTTTAATTAGTGTAAATATAAATGTTAAATATAATTTTTCAAATATTTGGTATCGTGAACTTTAGCTCGTTTGTAAGTTCGTTATTGCGGTCACTTCTACTGTATTCAGAGTGCGTTTAAGAAATAATTAATTTTAAAAATTGAAGAATTAAAAGGAAATCAATTACATTATGAATTCTGTGTAAAAGAATCTTACAGAATACGGCAATCCGTTTAAACGTTAATATAAAAACTAAGGGCATGTGTTTTATCCAAGTTCAAGATAGCTAATTTCCATTAAACACTAAAAAAGTTTCGTGAAACCTCAAAGTGTGTATGACTTCCCAAGTTATGATTGTGGAGAGAAGCGAATAACAAAAACTTCAAATAGAAACTAAAAACCTATTGATATTTTTGAATTCGTAAATAAGACTCATATAATTGTTTCTAGAGAAATTGTACTTTGTTATAAGAAGGAAAGGAAGACAATACCGAAAGCAAGGAACAACTAAAAAGTCGAAATTCAGTTGTTTATATAATTTAGTTTAAAGCTCAGTATTTGTGGTAATGTGATATTTATCATCAAAATTATTTGTTAAAAACAACAAAATGTCATTCAATAAACTGTCAATCAGTGATATAAATCTTCGAGGCTTACGAGTTCTCATTAGGTGAGTAAATAATACACGCAATGGTTATGAAATCAAAGCGGACTTCAGGGACGTACTTCACTTATGTTTTGATTACATGACCCAATATTTAACATCTCCAATTTCATATGTAAACAATGTAATCATGATTGATGTACATATAATAACCTCGCATTATAACCCTAACCCTAATATGCTTTTGCAGTGTCTCTTTCTCAACTGCAAACAAACAAGTACTTCCTCTGTCCCTCCCTACACCATAAAAATGTTAAGCATTTTCATGCATCTACGAGTAACTCGTAATTCTGTTAGGAACATGAACTACTAAGATATATTTACTAATATAAAATCATTACAATATAGAATATGCTAATACAAACCTTTCTCCGGAATGTGTGAATTTGAAGTTAAATTAATTAAGTTTAAGGAAATTGTTGTCTGTGCGGGGGGCATATGTTACTTTCTCGGTCACCTTGCATTTCAATGATATCAATGTTCGTTTTGATAAACATGTTTTATTTACTTTTAAGAAAATAGGGTAAACATGTATTCTCAATATTGCTTACATTGTAAGAACTATTTGCGATTTTAGAGGTGTCATATAATACATATTAATCGAAAAACGGGTAGACCTATGTACTACACGTAGGTGAAAAAATTTCAAAAATTGAAAATTTTTGGAAATTAAAGTAACAACAACAAACACTCATATCGTAATGTATTCCCCATGCAATTAATATTTAATGCTTATCTTTTTCCATCATCAGCGTCTGTAGTTTCCTGGTTTTGGAATCGACAAGCTCTTCACTAATTTGCTACTATATTAATTTTACCATATATGGCGCTATAAAGTATTCTTGTCATTGAAATGAATGAGTAAATTTCGTTACTCAAACATGACACTTTTTTTACCGAAATACAACCATTTACACTCCTCAATCAAACCTGCAAACCTTTCCTCAATCAGACCAAAGTTTCAGACATTTTCAGTTTACATATACAGTGCAGACATATACATATACATATACATATACAGATACAGATACAGTGCCTCTATAAAGAGAGAGGGTACGTCTGAAGTAACATAGATGGAGTTGTTATTTTTCAAAAAAGAAAGACAAGCAATATATTTAAATATAAAAAATAATTTCATCTCATACTACTTTTCCATATTAGTAAATCAACTTTTGACTTTTATAATGTTTATGTATTACTCCGATGCATTAAAAAATATGTGCCCTTACTTTATCAATCAAGAAGAAATATTAATGTGTTCAGTATTTATTATTTAATCGTTACAAATTAGAAAAAGAAGTCACCGTAATAAAATGTAGGGTAGAAACGTGACACGAACTCTGTGACACGAACTGTGGTCACGACCATCAGGAAATACACTCTGCTACGTTACGCTTGGTCCGACTGGGGCAGTGCCCCACTGGGGAGATGCAAAGAGGGGGAAAACGTCCGTTAGCCAACGTGCAGGTCGGCGCCGTATCTGATCTTTCAGCAGGTGAGGAACATCTCGACTTCCCGGCTATAACACGCAATGTGACTAATGACCAAAGTAGTCGGTGCGTCGGTAACAGTGGCAAAACACTCATTCACTCCACTCATCTGAATTTCGTGTCTACAAAACGACGATCCGCCCAAGCAACTACGGCATTGTGTTCTATAATGGTCGAGCAAAATTCCGCCTTCTGCTACCACAAATGGTACAGACTTTCCCGTATTAGTTTTCTATTTCCTTTGGTCTCTGCTAGCTATTCGAACATGCCACATACTCTTGCCTGCTGCCATCTATCGCCGCCCATTCTTTTTTTTATTTTCACAATTTTTTTGTTTTTCTAATAGTAGAACGGTAATATTATTTTAAGAATGTTAAACAATCATAAAACTTCGTCCTAAATGGCAATTTTCTTTGAAAAATGTAGAGCTGTTTTTAAGAAAATGCCGCTACAGTAAATTCAAAATTTGAAACTAATTCACTAATTTCTAATTCTAGAAGCTAACACACTAATTCACAATTTGTAAGAGTTTACAAATTGCTGGAAATGTGCTTATTACGTGCGTGAAATTTCGAAATTTTTGAAAATTCAGAATCAACAAAGCAAATCGGACCTATACCACTTTTAAGCGTATGTTATTCTATTCTCATAAGAAATTTAAAGAAAAAATGTGGAACCGTTTTTGAGAACATTTTGAAAATGTCCGGAGAAATTCAAGTAAAGTATCCCCAAATTTCAAAGAATGTTTCTTAAAATCTCAAATCTTCGACTCGAGGTAGATGAGCAGGGGTTTCTTCAATTTGGAAAAAAAAATCTGCCTATGGTTTAGGCGCTAGTAGTGTTTGGGCGAACAGACAGTTTTGCCGTCAATGGATTTTTCGGTATCAAGGACCCACAAAACAGGGATTATTGCTACACCACGTGTTTGAGTTTTCTTCTTCTTAATTTTGTAACTAGATCTATCCACTTATTCGTTACCAGGGCCCGGCAATTAATTTTTTTTCTGCCGAAAATCCGCCGCTTTTTTCGTGCAGCATTACATAACTTTTCCTACACTGCGAATATTACTCCGCATATACGTATGTATACGGGAAATAATGGGTAAAGATAGTGTGGAAGAACGCGCGAACGACCCTGAGTCGTTCAGAAGCCACCGGATGGGGATGGATTGAATCCATTGAATAACTGCTCTATTAAGCCTGGTACCGTTGTGTCTGTGGACAGTAATTGCCCGCGTCTGCAGAAAACATTAAAACACATTAACACACAGCGATCAAGCACCAATTCTCACGACTCACCTTTCAAATAGAAGCTGTGACTAATTCACTCACAGGAATCATAATTTTTCCATTGTCTAATAATATCTAACCAGCAATGCAAGTCCCACGTTATATCCACAGAGGAAGTTATTATTAGAGCACACAAATTAGATAACGCATTTTAGCTACGGACAGTACCCTTTTGTTTGTAATGAATCGTTATTTTTCTAGGAGCGTCTCTTTGTGCCCATGTGGCGAACACTCTTGTACAAAGAAAGATGTATAGTCTCAAATTGACAACAAAATAACATTATATGCGTTCTTTAAAAGACGGGAATTGGTAATTTCCATGCTGACACATGCAATAAAAAAATAATTATTAAAAATGTTTCGAGATTAATTATTACTACTATTAATTCAAAATGTGGGAAGATGACAACCAATTTAAATGTATAAGGCTGATGGATAAATATGTCATCGGATGTATCGTTGTCTTTTAGAAAATCATAATTTTGACGCTGCGTTAATGTTGTTGTTTTTTAGTTTTAATCTTTGTTCTCTCTATCATTTTTAGAGTTGATTTTAACGTTCCAATGAAAGATGGAAAGATCACTAATACTCAGCGAATTGTGGCTGCCTTAGATACTGTCAAGTATGCATTAGACCATGATTGCAAATCTGTTGTACTTATGTCACATTTGGGTCGACCTGATGGTCAAAGAAAAATGGAATATTCAATGGCACCAGTAGCTGAGGAACTCAAGACTCTGCTCAACAGGTGTGTTCTCCCTAATAAGAAAAGAGGTTTTTGTTATTGAAAATTGCATTAGATAACATAAATAAAAGTCGTCTGATCATTGAATTCTTACTTTCCAGAGAAATCACGTTCTTAGATGATTGTGCGGGACCTTCTATTGAAAATTCCTGTCGAGATCCTCCACAAGGGAGTGTGATACTGCTTGAAAATTTACGTTTTCATATCGAAGAAGAAGGCAAAAATGAAGCTAAAGAGGTATCTCTTCAATGCATTTTTTATTTTAACGATATTTTGGATTATTTCTTCTTCAACGAGAAAGTTGTAATGTAAATAAATTTATTTCTAGAAAGCTGACCCAATCAAAGTTAAAGAGTTCCGACGGTCCTTGCGTGCGCTTGGAGATGTGTATATAAATGATGCATTTGGAACAGCACATCGTGCTCACAGTTCTATGATGGGAGAAGGATTTGAGGTTCGTGCTGCTGGGTTTTTAATGAAAAAAGAACTTGAATATTTTTCAAAAGCTTTAGAGGAGCCAGAAAGGTAGGTCATATACAAAACAACTTTTCCTAGAAAAATGCTTCACTCTGTTTCATAAAATATGTAAATGTTCTGCGTTTCAAAATTTATTTTTTTGTTAAGGCCTTTCCTAGCAATATTGGGTGGAGCTAAAGTGAAAGATAAAATACAATTAATTAATAATATGCTGGACAAAGTGAATGAAATGATAATAGGAGGTGGAATGGCTTATACTTTTTTAAAAGAACTGAACGGAATGACGGTAAGTTTATTTTCTCAGTGAATATCTTGATATGAACATAAAATATCCTCATATAAATGTCAAAATTGTGTTTTAGATTGGAGACTCTTTATATGATGAAGAGGGAGCTAAGACTGTGCCTGATATTATGGCAAAAGCTCAGGAGAAAGGTGTGCAGATTCATTTACCTGTGGACACTGTAACTGGTGATAAGTTTGATGAGTCTGCTACAGTTGGAGAGTGTACAGTGGATCAAGGAATTGCTGATGGGTTGATGGGGCTTGACATTGGGCCTCAGACTTGTCAAAATTATGTAGAAGTTGTTCGCAGGGCAAAGCTCATTGTTTGGAATGGGTAATTACACTAATATTTCAAAGAAACTGAAAAGTAGTTGTATCAATTTTATATATTCATTTTTTATGTTAATAATTTCATTTTATGTTGGTTAAATATGTTAATTTTAATATGAAAAATAAAGTAACCAAGAAAAGTTAAGAAACTTCAACCTATCATTTTCATAGTCATAACTCATTTAATAATAACTACGAATTCGGAATTAATTTCTGTTGATGTTCTTATGAATTACTTTCTATTAAAACAAAATTTACCCTCTTGAAAAATTTTTATCAAGAGAAGAAAATAAATATATCTAAATATTTATTTCTAACGTTTTGGTTATCATATTAAGAAATTGTTTTTTTTATATGGTTTTCATATTAAGAAATTTATTACCACGATTCCGTGCAGAATTAACATTAATAAACAATAAATTTTCACCAAAAAATATTTTTACTACTATCACAAGTATTAGCACTTTCGCATTCATTTGTTACTACATTTAAATTATTGTATTAATCAATGTAGATATTACATAAATTACAATGATATATGGTGAACCTGAAAACCGCAGGAATCTTGGTAGATAGAAAAGTTGGTTCTTGGTCGCATGTGAAAAAAAAACGTTGCAAAATTCTGGCAAAAAATGTGGATTTATTCAATCCTCAAAGCACAGAAAGCACATATAGACCACTGTACATTAACAGAAACAGTCGTTTGAAATACCTTTTAGAACCTATTTCATGTAAAACTATTTTCAAAGCTTCTAAAATGGGATCCCATGCAAATTCGTTTAGTAATAACCACTAACTTTGAATTTACTAGTATATTACATTTAATTTCACTCAACTCTTCCAATATATTATTTACAACACATATTCCTCTTTGTTCATAATCAAGTTCAGTAACATTTTATCATCCACAATTTCCTAAAACTATTTGACAAAGAAAATCCCTCAGTTTGAAAACAAATCATTACATGCTATTAAAATTTAACATTTGATTTTACTTTCTCTTGGTTCATGACTTTGAATTTGGAAAGCATATTCAATTGCAACGGATACGTTATAAGCTATTTCCCCCTCCAGATCTCGTGACTATCGATGATCTCGTAAATAGAACGTCATTTCACAGTGTTTCTCTCGCCATACCCAGAACAAAACTTTGTCATACTCAAGGTTTGCCGTCTTCGTGCGTTGGCTGCCAGGACTTGTACGAAGGCCGTGGGCGCTTGCGCCGTCGTCTGCTTGAACCCACAGCAGCGGTATGTGTGCCGTCAGGGATCAGGTCCGGGCCGCCGCGAATCCTCCCACGTCGCTTTCAGCACGATCCAGCACGGTGTCCCGTCCTCGTCCAGCCGTCTTCTTACTACGTCCTCTTCCGGTCTTCTTCCGCATAGCCTCGTCCGTAGCACCAACGCTCTTCTTGAGCGATCTATTCACGACTTGGGCTTTCGTGAATTTTAAATATAGTTCATGCGCTCGTAAATAAAATGCACGTCATTCACAAGAGCAGTTCTTTTATCAAGTATCACTTCTCCTACAAATTACTAGATCGTTACTGCCTTGCTAACTGTTATCGTCTTTCACTTTCAGAAACTCGGTATTATTCAACGTGCTATTAATTCACAGTTCACCCAAACCACTGCGAAATAAAATACTGCTTTTCTGACTATCTGAATTATTACATGACGATTGCTTTCAACCGCGAATAATTAGCACGTGCTCTCTTCAGAGCAAAATTACAAGTCCTATACTTTCTGGCTAGATCAGCACTGCCTTTTCGCACCGCTGCTCAAATAAGAAAAAAAGTCGTTACAACTGCCCTTTGACCATTTCTTCTCCCCTACTTTCTCCTAACCTCGCTCCCTCCGGTCAGTCAACAACACGGCCTAGCATGCGCCCTACTTTCCGCGGCAATTCAAACGAGTTCACACATGCGTTCGCTCTCCGTACCCACATATAGTACTTCCTCTTTATACTTATATATATATATATATATATATATATATATATATATATAGAGAGAGAGAGAGAGAGAGAGAGAGGGGACAGATAGAGAGAGAAAAAGGTATCTGAGGCGATGCTGAGTATTTGATTTGAATGTTGCTGTTGTACCAACATTTTGGAGCCACTATCTGACAGTCTTTCCTTCACGTCGATCACAGAAACATGAACAATTTTGTCAGCAAACCTTGAAAGAAGCCATTGAAGCCAAAGGCACAATAAACTATTTCTTATCACATGATCAATTGAGAACACCAAGTTATCTGAAAACTTCTTTCATTGTAATATAATTTTGCAAACAAACTAAAGAAAAATATCCATTGCAGACCAATGGGAGTATTTGAATGGGACAATTTCGCCCATGGAACAAAAGGAGTAATGGATGCGGTTGTGGAAGTCACTGCAAAGGGTGTTATCACAATCATTGGCGGCGGAGACACAGCCACATGTTGTGCGAAATGGGACACAGAAGACAAAGTCAGCCATGTAAGCACAGGAGGAGGAGCAAGTCTGGAACTTTTGGAGGGTACGTATGTATCTTCTGCTATAAGGTATCACTTCAAAAACGTTTGCGTAAGTTTAGATTATATTCTTTCAATAAAAGTGTTGGTAGTGTCCTTTTACACTACCTATATCATATTTGCATTATTAAATTGGCAATTAGTCCCATCAATTACATAAGATTATTTTGTAAAAAGAAAAATATCTTAATACCATATTAATGTTTACGTCACACATACATTTCTCAATAAAATGTTTTAAAATTATCTAAAAAATTAATGTAGAATGATTTAAGACCATTAATATAAATAATAGGTCATGTTGCGAATTTTTAGTCAATTGAGCAAATGATTGAAAACTCACGAACAATTTAGCCAATGCTTCAAATTATATAATTCCTTCATTAGGAATTACTCAATACACTTGTGACACTTGCACACTTTCAGATAATAGTATTTGCATGAGGTCCAAGATGTAACTGTCTAATGTATGATATGTCGTGAGAGTTTTTTTGTCCAATATAGCTACATAACACATTATTAAAATAATTAAGTGCAATACAAATAGCAAGTGAAAAGCATACTAATTCTTCTTTCAAACAAAAGGAATTAGTATGCTATCCTACATATTAATTAATATAGAAAACTTATAGTTAATTGATTTTTCAAAGTTAGCTTTCATAAATACTCATATTTTAAATTGTAATTTCACTCATTTACCCTTTTAAGTATTCCATCTCCATCATTCACTCACATGCTCGCTCTCTCGCTCGCACCTTCGCTCCCTCACACTCACACACACTCACATACACTTACACTCTCACACACATCCTCTCTCACACACCCACTTATCCTCTCACTGTCACACTCACACTCACACTGGTACAATACTGGTAAGCAGTACAGCATATTTCATTGTTTGAAAAGGCAATAACTCGTCAACAATAGAATTTTCGCTGTTTCTGAAAAATCTTATTTGATGGACATGTCATTTTCATGAACGCTCTTCAATTGACAGTTCGAGTAACTGAGTCTCACTGTCCAGAAAGGACATTGCATTTCCGTCGGAACATGGTTTAGTTTCACCACTCAGTGAACAGCATTCTGCACCGTCAAGATAATTGTCTATACTCACTCACCTACCTACTCACTCATTTACCTACCTATCTATTCACTTAAATACCTAGCCAGTCACCTACCCACTTTCCTACCTACCCACATACGTACCTAATAGCATTCCTACCTACATTCTCACATACCTACCTACCCACTCGCATACCCACTTACTTACCGACGTACCTACCCACCCACTTACCTACACACCTACCTTCACATTTAACTACATACCTACCTGCACACTTAACTACGTACCTTCTGTAATGAATCATAAACTTTAGAATCAAATAATATTTATAACTTGTAATTATTTCACCCCAAGCTTGGACAAGTCAGATCTATTCGTGTTTGTAAACTCGTCGTGAAATAAACAGAAAACAAATTTTTCACACTGGTCGCCAAGTCTACAATGACTCACTTACTAGACGAAATCACGAAAATATGAAATTACGTGACATGTATATCTATATCATCGTATTCATTAAAATATGTTTTATAAACTTATTTGTTGTTATCTATTGCGTTCTTTCCAATTCTTAAACACAGAACTGAAAGGACTCCTATGTCTCTTTAGTTTATGTTCCTCACAGTACAAATTTATATTTTTAGTGTGGATCCGCGAAGTCGCTCCTATACAGGAAACCGAATAATGTTATTTTTATTTCGAATCCTGGCTCTCTTGTATTCTTTCCCCTATCATTGAGTTTCTGCTACCCACTAAAAAATAGCACAGATTTTCGGCAATGTTGCCGATCCGAATATCAGCAATTATTTATTACTGAAAATTTTGACGAAATGATACATATTTTACAACATATTTTATTTTAGTACAAAAGTACATATTTTATTTACATCCCATTCATACGAGTGCACTCCTTTTAAATGCTGCAAATATTGTAATGGCCATTTTATTCTATTCTTAAACTAATCATAAATCTTGGCCTTGTTATAATTTTGTTTTGATAAAATTGCGTTACCTCCCTGGTTGTTGAGTGTAAATTCATTGTAAATATTTGTTGGGTTTTCCTTGTAAATAAATATTTGTAAATATGAAAGGTCGTGTTTGTGTTTACTGTGAGTATCCATGACGTCACAACTGCATCCGTGTCCATATTCTTTCCATTTACCATATTCTCCTTCGTCCAAATTCCAACTTAAAGCTCTCTCAAATTAATAATGCACTAATAAAAGCGTCGATTTTCCGAATTCTAAAGCTTTCATAAAATTCTACGTGAATCCAAGACTTGACCTTGTCAGTCCATAATCACAACCCCGTCTATCTATAATGTCTATATGCATTGTTGCATTGCCTTTTTTCCACCGCGCAGTTTGAAACAAGTCTTCTCATTGTCAAACCCGCTGTACCTTTCCATTTTCTTTTCTTTTCTTTATATTTCTCTAATTTCTTCGTTGCAATAATTTCTAATAAGAGTCCAAATAATAATATTAATTACTTTTCCCTTTTCTAAATTCCTAATTTTGTTATGTTTAAAAAGTTTATGTAATCACGTGTAAAACACATTCAATTGTCTTTGCCTAATATACGAACATTTAATTACAGGGTTTTTCGTTAATCCAAAATAACGTAGAGTTCGTGCGACTATTTATTTCCTAAATGTTTTTTGTTTACTCATTTACTTCTCACAGGCCTTCTAACAGCACAGTTCCTTGGATTTTTGAGAAATAAATAACACTTTACACCTCCAGCTTTGCACCTTCGACTGTTTGTTTCCTTATAAATGTGTCAATTCCGATTATTTTGTCCGGTTTATTAATACTCCCTGGGACGCGTCCGAATGGACCGTCACACGACCTACACACTTATCTACATATTTACCTACCCACCCAGACCAGAGCAGCTGAAGTTGTGCGTAGAGAACGCCTGCTCCCTTCGGAGCTCTTCGTTCCTCGTTTGATTGTTCGAGGTGTTGTTGTTGCCATTTATCATGCTTCCATTCCCCATACGAGAAGGGATTTGGGTAGCGACGTAGGTTATTTTTATTACTACCCACCCCACCCACCCACTTACATCCGTATCCACATTCCCACCTTCAATATCTACTTATATACCTACCCACTTACAACCACCCACCGTACCACTTTCCTACATATCCACTTACTCTACCTAATTATTTGTACTTATTATATATTTACTTATTTATTTATTTGTTGGTTTTTTAATTTGTTTGTTTATATGCGTGTCTGGCTGTTTTTTTACTTGATGTTTTTATTCTTGTTGTTATATTATCAATATTTCTCAGATGATGCTGACAAATATGGAGCATAAAAAATCAAACATACCACATGTAACTATTTTTATGTAGTAAAAATAATTTTTCTTGTTGTAGGTAAAGATCTCCCTGGGGTGTCTGTTTTAACTGATAAAGACCAGGCTTGCAAATGCCAACAAAAATGATTTATTTCAAACAGAATGTGGATTTTGTCACAAAGATCCATTTAAAATATATAATTAACTGATATTGCTCCTTTTTCTTAAGAAATACTTTTAGATATTATGTAACTGTATAAATTGAAATTGTAATACGTTTGTTGCAATAAAACATTTAAAAAATAATGTAAATAAATTCAAATATTTGTCTGGATCTGACAATTAAAATTTTTTAATGTTTAATTATTCTCCAACATTTGATATAATACTTTGAAAGGAAATACATGTTTCAAACACAAAGATTTTAGATTTTTCTCACAGCAGTTTTTATTGAACCTAAGACAATTTTCAATCCCAAAAATAGAACGGTTAAAGCATGTGCAATTTTCTCAACAAGATAATGAATTGTAGTCTTCACACGAATGAATTAGACCAGATGTGGCTGACAGTTTTTGTCCTTGGGCCACTAGACGCACCAGACACGCCTTTTTTCACGCACCAGACAAAATATTAAAATTAAAAATATGATAAATACAAAAACGATTTGTTTACGTACATAAAATGTTATTATGTCATTTGCCTACAATAAATTTAATTTAGTACACATTTTTTTTAAAGCGAGTGGTGCTAAAACTGCACATACTTTTTGGTTCTTTAGTAAAGGTTATACAATAATATATTGCATTTCTGTCTATATCAACACATTTCAATCAATGAGCGCTGGCAACAAAGCGCGCATGCAGCGATAAGCACTGCCAAAAATTGGCACATATTTTCTTATCAGTTCTTGTTAAAAGCCAGGTTATTTGCCAGGTTAACTTCATAATTGTAGCTGTACGAACACGCCAAAGATTTTGATTTTTTTCAGCTTCTGAAAATTAGGATTTTCAACCAACATGAGACTTGAACTATTCTCTTAAACGTACCTTACACTATCAAACAACAAAATTTAATCAGAAATGATGGAGCCATTATTTTAAAAATGTCCCAGAGGCTTCATGTGAAGTTAATCCCAAAATTAAAACATCGGTTTCAAATTCAAGGTGCCACGACATCAGCTAGATCGATTAAGGAATATTAATTTGGGAGAAAATCAGCTAAACGGTTTACCAGCTAGCATTGTTCACAGACAGACGTTTTGCCATTAATTGATTTTTCGGTATCAAGGGCCCACAAAAAATTGTTTCTGGCTACACCACGTGTTAGAGATTTTTATCTAAATATTATCTAAATTTTTAGAGATTATCTAAATTTAGCATTTTGATTAACTCAACTTTTCGGTGCCAGGGCCATGTAATAAAGACTTTTTCTGCCGAAAATTCGCAGTTTTTTTTCGGCAGCATTACCAAACTTTCTATTGCGGTAGCGAGAAGGTATAAGAAATTATAAAATAGTAACACAGACTTGTAATACTTTAGTTATACATTATCATGTTCGATAATTGGCCATTAGTTGGCGTTGCGGACTCCACTTAACAATAAGATTGGTCCCAATATTTGAATGAAGGAGGACGCATAACCGAGAAAAGTTGTAACAAGCCGACGTGTCGTTGTGGATGACCCATGGATCAGAGTACTAATGGGGCTGGAAAAAACAAATCACAAAAAGAACACGATTTTCAAAAACAAATCACAAAAATCAGATTTTTTATTTAAATAAGAATTTTTATTTAAATCAGAAGTTTTATTTAAATAATATTTTTTTATCTAAATAAGATTTTCAAAAATTGTATTAGATGTTATTACTATAAAACAAAATCATTAAGTGATGTTTTCATCCTTAATTACTTCTAAAGCAAAAGCAAAATATTAAAAAATCAGTTTTTACTCTCCCTTGTGCATACGTATATACGGAGTAATATACGTAGTATATGGAATGTTATGTAATGCAGCGCGAAAAAAAACAGAGGATTTTTTTCAGAAACTTAGTGGTGCTACAGAATGACACAGATTGAGAGTGTAGACTTCCGCGGCCGGAGTCGGTATTTACTAGGCAGTCCGGGTGACGCCGCGTCCATGGCGAAGGTGCCGACGTTTCGGTCGCCATTCTGCGACCTTCCTCAGGGCGTAATGCCACAAAGATTTTCCCATATTAGATTTCTATATCCTTTGGTCTCTGTAAGCTATTCGAACTCGCCACATACTCTTGCCTGTTGCCATCTACCGCCACCCAAAATATATTTTTTTTAAATATTTTCTTATTTTTTCGCACTACTAATAAAATAATGTAAATATTATTTTAAGAATATTAATGAACAGTAAAACAGCGTCGTAATTGGCAATTTTCTTTGAAAAATATGGAACGGTGTTTAAGAAAATGGCGATAATGCGCTACTCTACATTCGAAATATGAAGTACTTTTTCAGAGAAAAATTTTGAGTTTTCGAAAAACTTCATTAGAAGTCATTTGAAACACATGAACTCACACATACGATAGTTTTCCCCGAAATGAACTTTACGTCATATTAGACAGTGTAATTAGAACTATCCGTTCGAAAAGTTTGAAGAAAAAAATTGGAGCCGTTTTTGAGAAGATGGTTTTTGAACGTTTCTGAAATTACAGATTTTTCGTTCAAAATTTGTATTCCATTGTGTGTTCTTTCATTAAGTTCACGCATTTTTTTATTTGAGTAGTTTTCAAGTAATATTATGTGCAATTTGTGCAATTAAAAAAAAATAAAAGCAAGATATTCTCAAAAACCGCGCCAAAGTTTTTCTTTAAACTTTTGGTGGGGATTGTACTAATGCACTCTACAAGATGCCATAAACGCCACATTGGCCTATTGTTTTGTTTTTGCAAAAATTACATAAATGTCATTTTTTTTACTTTTCTTATGTCGTTAAATATTTAAATTAGCAGCAATTGCTCACATTTTTAAAGCATTTATTTTTTTAAAAAAATCATTTGATGTAAATCATACCATCCTTACTTTCTAATATAATAATTATGATAATCTAACAGATTCAATCAATAGGCCAGTGAAGAAAAATACTTCCATTTATTGATACAATTTATGTATAGCTTTGTAATATATTAGTATATTTAATTGAATTTATTAATGCTTTAGTTTACGACGGAATAAAAAGTAATTATTTCAGCAAATCTTCCAATATTTTTTAAAAAATATCAAAAATTCAGAACACTAAACTATGACCCCAAGTGCATATTATATACACCTTGAACGTCCCTTACAAATAGTACATAATGCACCGTAACGCTGCCTCACCCCCTCCCCTCCATACCCCCTTCATACATTTCCTCAAAAACGGCTTAAAATTTTGCAATTAAAATATGCATATCGGAACAGATTTTACTCTTCTATAATTTAATATAATTAAAGCCATATATCCATTTTACTATTGGGAGAGCGGGGTATTGAGGCAATGCTTGTTTTGAAGGAAATTTTCTTGGTATTGAAAGATCTCACTATATTTTTTTTTTAAATAACACATGGAGAATACGATGCCAACAATTCAACGTTACCGCATCTTTTATTACTTATTTTAAAAATTTCTGAAACAAAAATTACGGGAAAAGCAACGTCCTCTGTCTTTCATTGTCTTTTATCAGCAGCTGACTGCCTGAAAATCTTGTGCGTTTGCATTTGTTTTAGATGTGGTCAAGATATATTAATGAAGGTTGTGGTGGTGGTGGTGTGAGTTTTGTGAACTACTGACAGAAACAGGAACAAAGACAGTTTCGACAGTTTTGAGGGTTTGGTTCGGATTGTCAAAGTGGAGTGTGGTGGAGAGGATATCTCGCTGGCTATTTAGAAATGACAAATGTTTTTTAGAAAATCTTACGATTGAGAGACAACATGATACAGAAATATTGACATATGCAGTGAATGTTTGACATTAATTCTGCTTGTTTCTTATTTAGAGTTGATTTTGGTTATGTTAGAGATGAAAAATCTCCCGTGCATGTAAAATTTAGGTTGTGTGAAGACAGATGCGAGTTGAAAGCTTACAGATTGTGTGCAATTATTGTCAAATAAGTTATAGTTTATTTTAATAATGTTAAGTTACTTGTTTACCATTACTATAATAATTGTTTTGATGGTGGTGGACCAAAGTTACCAGAATGAACTACTAGTAAGACGAGATGGCAGAGGACTAGTAAATCCATTTGTTTTGGAAGGGAAATATAATAAAAATTATACCTTCAGTGTAAATGATTCTAGGGAATACATATTTCAGTTCGATGAAGCAGTGGTATGTTTACATGATTCTTAGTGATTTTATGTCATTTTGATAATTTTATAAATATAAATATGATTTTTTTTTCATTAGGACACTCCAGCTTGCATAACTGTAGAATGTTATGACTCAAACAGGACATATCCTATATTGATAGTTGTAAGGCAGCAGAAAGGGGTTTTGTCATGGCAATTACCTCTTATTGTAGAAACTGCTACTTCTAGGTTAGTTCCTTCGTAGCATGTAATTTTTAGAGGAATAGTACATTTTAAAACAAGTATAATTGTTTAAGCCATAGTATATTATAAATGAATTTTTTTATTGAAGGCGTGAATATTATCGAACTAATCGTACATTGTGTCCTGACAACAATTATTACCTTGAATCACAACTGACAGCTAGCAGTAGAGATGTCATTGTCAGTATTTCTACTGCAAGTCCTCACAATGTTACATTCTCTCTCTTAGTAAAAACAGTTGACAACTTTTTTGTACAGTAAGTTTGTTTTCCTTTTTATTATTGTTTATTTAATTTGGTAAATGTATTAATGATGTACTAAAAATAAAAATTATATTTTTTACCATTTCAGACTATCACAGACTTACGATGTTCTAGTTTCTCCATCAGAACCTTCATATTTTGCTTTCAAGTTTCAAAAAGAAGACCCAGATACTGTGTTACTTCAGGTGGACTCTAAAGATGAAATTTGCACTGCAGTTTCAGTTCAAGATCTTACGGTGAGTAATTTTTTTTTCTTTAAAAAGTGAAATTTTTAATACCTTTAACAGCAAGTGATTATGCATTAGAATATTATGTAATACTCATAACATGTATTTCACAATGTGTATTTTGCTCCAGATACAGGGCAAAATTATAGGATTTAAGAATTTTTATTGAGCTTTAATGTAATTTTTCAAATTGTTGAAAGCATTAATCACTGTGACCAAAGTCAGGCCTTTTGGTTAACACCCAGTTGCTTTTATCACCTAAGTACTGTGACGAACAGTTTGAACATTTTTTTTAAGCCTATATGTTGCGTATGTGTTCAGTATTTGTTTTCACTGCACTAAAAATTCTAATTGCAATTCTAATTATTAATGTATTTTTGTATGTGTTGGGAGGGGGGTTATTCAGCTGTTTCTCACCATAGTATATACTAAATAAAAACCAAAATGTCAAAAATACAAGATTAATAAAAAATATAGTAATAAATATATTAAAATGCAAAACGAATTATAATTGCCCACCATTATGACAATACAAATGTATTAAATATTTTAAGATACAAAACAAGTGATCAATACATAATTGAATAGAATTATTTTATTTCACAGTTCCACATTATGATACTCAATAAGGGGAGTCAAGAAAAGTCTATATCCATTCAGTCATGTAGGAAAGTCATCTGTAATTGTGGCTCAAATTGCCAATTGCAAACAGTCTTTCTAAATTTATTCTTTGAAGTACTATTGACTGTTGTGAGTTGTTATAGGAGCAAATTTCTTGGAGTCTGTCTGTGGGAATATCCATTTTCAATTTCAGTTTAGTATTGGTGCTCATGTGAATGTCAGCTTGTGATTTATATTTTTGAACGTTATCAGTAGAGCCTGGAAGTCTGGCAAAATGCTTTTTTGTTATTGTTGTTATTTTATGACTTCCGACAATAGGAATCACTTAATTGTACATCTGGGTTGTTTTAGTAGATTTTTTTGTGTGCCTATTTTAGTATCCAATGCGTATTTGTGCAATTTTGTCTTATTTTCACTTTTTTCCTCATTATTTTGCTTTTTTTTTCTTGGGACAATTTTGCGATCAATCTGGATATATACCTGCAACGCTGGAAACATGAAGGCACAGTCATATCTTTCTGTAGAAGCAGAGGGTGTGTTAAAAATTATTTTTTATTTTCTTTGATGTCATTGATGCCGACAAGCTCTAATTGTTCACGAGGAATCCCAACCTATTAACTACACTAACTACATGGATCCCTTTTGAGTATAGCTCTCTGTAAATGATTTTCCATTCTCAATGCTGCCGATTACACAAGTGCAAAGAATTAAAAATATTATTCTGCTTTCACTGATGCCATTCTTAGAACCAAATGGGAGTTCACAATATCATTTGTAAGTTACAGTATCGCGACTCTATGAAATTCGTAGCCATCAACCTACCATGTTTGAATATAAATGTGAATCATCTGAATTATTAATTTTTTACAATAATTTCTTTTAAATGTTATTTTTCATTGTTTAATGCCTTTTTGCACTCCTACTTTTGCTAGAATAAATTCCTTTTTGCATGCCTATTTCAGTAAAGTTAAATGCATTTTTGCCTGCCTATTGTGGGTGAAATAAATTCCTGAACTTCTTGACTCTAGCTATCATGAATAAATTATCATGAACTTATCATACTGTTTTTAAGTTGCACAAATAGTAGTCTGTGGTTCATTTATCTTTGTGTTCAACTTATACCTAACTACTCTCTTTTTGTCTAATTGATTTTGGGTAGTTTTGTGCAGACGTTTAGTAATTGAAAAGTGACCTTCAAAACAGTCATTCAGTGACCCCTGTGATTACGATTGGTTTTTGAACTTCGGGGAAACAACAGAGGAACTTGCATACTCTATATGGACTCGCACACAAACATCCATGCCCCAGGTGGGATTCAAACCCGCAAATCTGGCACGAGTCTGCTATGGCCCTTCAGTCTTAATGACTTCGGCTATCCAGGCTGGCAGTGCCGACTTTGTTGATATGGATTTCCGGGGTAACTTTGGGTCAAGTGGAAACCCCAATAACCAGTGACTGGTTGGCTTTTGTTGGTTATTTCTTTAAGACCGAAATTTATTATTTGAGTTTTTGCATCGTGCAAAAGAAAATCATTGGCCAGAAAACCATTGTTGCAATATTTAGGTGTTCAGTTGTTAGAATTTTCAGTTGCTCTCTATTGCTACATTGTATTCTCAGAGTAGTATCATCTATGTACAATATTAGGATAACTGGAAGGTTATATATTAGATCATTTGTCGTAACAGTAAACGGGAATGAACCCATGATTGAGCCTTGTGGTACACCATACACAGTGCCAATATGTCTGGAGTTCGCATTGCCCACAGTTACATATTTTCTTTGTGACCTATAAGACTCAAATAGTCTAATACTACTCTCACTTGATTTGTGAATGAATGTATCAGTATTTCAGTTTTTGAATGAGCAGGACAGGTATAACACAGTCAAAAGCTTTTATTAGATCACAAAGCACTAGAGATGAATAAGATTTGTTTTCAAATAAATTGATATACTTAATTAAATCCTCCATTGCCTTAATGATTGATTCACCGTATCTAAAACAAAACTGGAGTAAGCAGCAATTTCCAAAGCATGAACTAAGTTGTTTGTATAATATTAATTCAAATTATTTGGAAATTATTGATATCAGTGAAATAGATCAAAAGTTACTTGGTACCTTGATATGTAATTTGTACCTTTTTATGTAACAAACTCTTTTGATAATTTTAGACATGATAAATACCCTCTAATAAACACGTGTTGAATAAAATGGTCAAAGCCAAAGAGAGTGTATTAACAATTTGTTTTATAAAGTTGGACAATCCACAGAAATGTGATTGGGAATTTTCTGGCTGCTTTTCATATATCTTTACAATTAAGTGATTGGTGATAGAATTTAGTACCATTTTGTATTTGCACGCCATTTCTGCTGAATTCCATAGCTTCTTCAATATTGTAAGGAATTGATGAAATTATATCATTAACACATTGATAATTGAAACATGGGCCGTAACAATGTTGTAATGACATATTGTAAATTTTACAAGTGAGACTACAGTGTTACAGGTAGGTACATTTGAGGCAATGGGTTAGCTAATATTTTAACGCCAAATATTCACATAAAACATTGCCGTAACATTCTCGAAACATTCCTGTGGGTAAAAATTGTAACATTCAACATTGTTCTACAGAAAATGGCAAATTAAAAGTTCATTGTTATACCATCTGACCCCCCTTTACCTTTTCTCATCTAATAAATGTAAGAGGGAAACAAATTACAATAATCTGTCAGATAATTTATGAACTAACAAAAGCAATTATTTACATTCATTGCGTGAAAATTCATTTATACCATTCCAGTACTGATTTACTATTATATTGTTAAAATTTATAAAGTTTTCTCGTCGGTTCACTTGCATTATAAAGCTTTGTTATCTTTTCTTTTGTTGGGGGGCATAGCATTTGAGCAAATGAGTTGTTGATGTTATGAGTTTCTACTTGTTTCCTGGAGGATAATAATCATGTTTATGATTCTAATTAATTTATTTAAATAATGGAGCAAGGTTGTTGTTATTAATAATAGCTTATGTGTATGACTTATAGTTTCAGAATAGTATGTATAGTTTTTATTCCTCTTTCTTTTTAAGTTGTTGTTGTTGTTGTTTAGAATCTTATGCAATTAGTAAAAAACATTTTCAGTTGAAAATGTAATTTGCTTCTTATGTTTCTTTTAAGTGCCCAGTTTTTGATCTGGAGAGGAATGTTCAGTTTGAAGGATACTGGCAAACAATTAGCAGCCAAGGAAGTATTACTTTAAGTGTAAGTATAATAGTATTGATTTCTCTGGTTTAGAATTTTAAAAATAATTTTTATTATTTCAAAAATTATTTAATTAGATCTACTAATTTTTGAACTATGATTTTCAGTATTCCATGAGTTGGTTTTAGAATTTCAAAGAAAACGTAGTGGTGCAAAAAGAACTCCAATTTTCGAAAAATTGTACATTATCTTATTTTGAAATATATCTTTAAAGAACATATTTCATTTAGGGGGAAAATGTCTATCTTTAATATTTTAGTTGTATTATGATTCAGAAAAAATAATTAACTTTGGCAATTTTTGAAAAATCAAGGTTTTCAACAAAAATCAGACCGGTGCCATTCTCTTAAACGCTTTTAACTATCCAACAACAAAATTTAATCAAATACAATGGAGTCTTTTTTTGAAAATGTCCGAGGCTTTATGTAATGTACCCCCCAAAATTAAAATATTGGATTCAGATCGAAGGGACCATGACAGCAGCCAGATCGATTGGAGCATATCAATTTTTGAGAAAATAGACTTGACAGTTTAGATGCACATTCACAGATAGGCATACAAGGTGGACAGACAGACAGGCATTTTGCAGTCATTCGATTTTTTGGTATCAAGGACCCACAAAATATTTTATCTGATCCACAACTTTTATTGAATTTTTCATATCTGAACCTCACTACTTCTCTCTTCCTCTTATTTCTTCACTGTTGCCATGAGTATTCCTGAGTCAGAAACATTTTTATCGCTTCTTGCCTTCCATAAAGATGTTCACAACCAATTCCTGGGCTTTATACAATGGACAAAACTATTTCTGGAAATGTCAGATATCTGTATTCTTGTTCATTTTAGACCACACAAAAAGTGTATAGATCTTACAAGGTTCTATTAGACTGAATAACCATATGGTATTGATGATATAAAAATTATTTTCCTTCAGTGCACATTACCTTCAGTTACTTTTGTGCACATTAATGCTCTCACTCTCACACATGTAGAAATATCTAGATTTATTGAAATTCTATTAATAAAAGCTTAATTCTATTTAATTTCATAATTACAATAATCAAAATAATTATTGATGTTTCATGAGCTATTTTTGATCCAAATGTAAACAAATGTAATTCCTTTGAAATTAACTATTGTTCGGTGGTATCACAATTTGTGGACTGACCTTCTGTTCTGGGAACGATAGAATAAGACGTTATTTTAATGAACAAATTCAATAGAATATATCGAATATACTATTTGTCTCCTTTTCTTCAATTGTAATAATTACAATTTATCATATCAATTATTGATGAACATAAAACACAATTACTTTATAACTGAAGAATGATTTTGACCAGACCTTTACATGATAACAGTAACAATTATAGTAAATGATTTCATAACCAAACAATCATTTACTTATTCCTTACTCGCTTTGTAGTTCAAAAAACCCATTCAATTAATACAGAATTCACAAGGATTATATTTGCAAGAAGAAAGAAAGAAAGACAGACAGACCGACCATGAAACCTCTTTCAATTTATTCCTTTGTGTTACCTTTGAATATCTCTCATCGGGTTCACAAGGTTTTTAAAATACAAAGGTAAAAATTTATGCGAGGCAATTGTTCATAAGTTCTTGAATGTAAAATCACTAAGGATGATGTTTATTTTTTACAGCGTGATGCATTTCCTTCGGGTTTCTATGTTGTATTTGTTGTGAAAGGAGATGACTACGAGTGCTCAGGCAAAGTTCCAGGTTATGCCAACAGCACGGTAGAGCCTCGACGTAAAAATCTCACATTCTCTTTGTCTCCTGGAATCACATACAGAGACTACATTCTAGCAACATTGTGTACTGTAGCAGTTTTTGTTGTTGTATACATACTGTGCTTTGTGATTGCTATCACATATTATGTCAGGTATGTAAGAATCTTTGCTTGATATAAGGTATGAAGTTGATCAAAATATAACAGTTTTTCTTTAATTTGTAAACTTTTGGAATACTAACGTGTTTTTCTTGAGTAAACCAAATGTTTTTGCAGGAGACGCCGGCAACCTTCGGAAATTAGTTACTTGGATGATGACAGTTGTGTGTCACCTTCCTCAACAGTACCTCCTACAATATACGGACAAATTCAAAGCCCATTATCGGAGGGCAGTACTGTACCTCGTTGCAATTCAGACTCTTCTCTTGATGAAACGGATATAGATATGTTGCAAGATGCAGATAGTGAGAAAGATATATTTCGGTATGAAATTGTTTTCCATGGTTCTCTGTGGTTTCTCTAATCATCACATGCCGAATGTTGGAACAATACTCTAACACACAGACCGCACACTTTCTGACCTTCCTCTTCCTTGTCCTATCCTCATCCCTTATTTTCACTTACTGCATTACTACATATTCTGGAAAACTAGTCAGGAGCTTAGAGCGTGTTCTGGCTGGGGGCAGTGGCCCACTGGGAGAGATACCTGGAAGAGAAACCCCAGCAACCTGACAGGTGTCAGTGCCGTATCTTATAATCCAGTGGGGGTAGAACACTGCCAAACATACAGAACATACACAACACATCTTGGACTAATTACCATAGCAGTTGACATGTCCGGTAACGTGAATAATTATTTTTTCTTATATTTTAGGACAAAAACTTTTCTGTATGTAAGTGATTTGGCTAGAAAAGAACCTCGAATTTTACGTAAAAAATCCAATCTGTATCTATGGAATTTGCTCACGGTTGCAGTTTTTTATTCTCTTCCGGTCGTTCAGCTTGTTATCACATACCAGTTGGTAAGGATTTAAACAACATATTTTATTTCTAATTCAGTACTTAATATAAGTCTTTGATTTATACTATGCTGTTTCTTGAATCAGGTACTCAACCAGACTGGAGATCAAGATCTTTGTTATTACAATTTTCTCTGTGCTCATCCATTTGGTTTATTAAGTGATTTTAATCATGTATTTTCCAACATTGGATATGTGCTTTTGGGTCTTCTATTCATCTTGCTTACATGGCGTCGTGACATGATGCATCGCCAGTCAGATCGGCGGCTTGATAAGGTAACCAGTTTGTAAATTTAAAAAAAATTTTCCATTAAGTTGAAAAAAGATTATGAAGATATTTCTGAAAATCATAAATTCAAATGTGCTCTGAGAATTAACATTGTTTTGAAAGATACATTATTATACTTTACATCTGATCTTCAGAAAACAAACAAATAAACCTTTAAAATGATTTTTTTTATATGTGGCCATGGTTAATTATCAAAATACATATGAATTTCAATTTAGTAATCAGCGTATTCTAATCTTAGCCATTTATGTACATTGTCTTGAATTGAAGTGCATCAATCAAATGTTCAGATTAAATAAGTAAAGTAAAACAACTGTAACAAAAAAGAAAGAATTTTCAAGACCTGTGTTTCAAGAGTAAATCATTATATGAATTATTATTTTATTTTGTAGTATTATGGTATACCTCAACATTATGGATTGTTTTACGCATTGGGAGTTGCGCTTATGATGGAAGGAATATTGAGTGGTTGCTATCATGTGTGTCCCAACCACTCTAATTTCCAGTTTGGTATGTATGATTTAGAATCCTCAAAAGGCTTCTTTTAAAAATTAATTTACTGCATATATTGAAAGAATTATATAAGAGTTTCATGGAACATTTTCATATATGTAATGCAGAGACAAATTAAAATTAAGGGATGTCATAACAAGAAATTATATCAACATTGCACCTGTAAAAATAACTGAAGTAATGTCATATTACAGGGCAGATAAAAAAATTGAAATAACTATTAACACTTTCTAAAATTTTAATGAATCAGTAACTATCTCTCTCACAGATGTTACTTTTTGATCTTTCACGTGAAAGTATCATTATATCAGGAAATATTATAAAAATATCCCATTTTTTAAAATTTTATTTTGTATTTTTTTTTTCCTTCCTACGTTCAATTTTAAGAGCTCATCTACAGATAACATTTTAAAAGCATTCAAATTGAATATTTAAATGTGTTATGTAACAGCAATTACAGAAGTGATATATGAAGTCATGCTAATGAGTTATTAAATGAAATGGTAGTATCAACGTATATTGTAAAATAGTTTAATTTTCCAATTTCATTATTATGTGCAACATTTTAATTCAATAAAATAGATTTTATTTGTAGGATGAAACAGATTATCTAAAATATTTTTCATATATTGAAGCAAGTTGTGTTGTTCTGTGTTGCAAAACTCAGGAATGGTGGATAAATGGAATGGAACCATCCATGCGTGAAATGAAACCGTACCATACATAACGCAATGAAACAAATTGGGATGACTTTGAATTTCTGAATTAACTAAAAAATTTTGAATCTAAACTTATTCTATTTTTACATTAAGGTGGTCTTAACCCCAACTTGGCATGTGTGATAAGAGCAATTTTCTCGCCTGACATGTATGCAAATGTTTTTGACTTTCAACAAATACCCTTTTGGGGGCCACAATAAATAGCACCATGGGCCACCAGTTGGATAACCCTTCCTTAAAATGTACCAGCTGTGTGATGGTATCAATTGAACAATGTTGTATTCCTTTGACACTGCAGCATGTTTCAATGAGATAATGTTAAATTGTTGTTTTCATATTATTTCCATTGTTTCAGATACCAGTTTTATGTATGTCATTGCAATGTTGTGCATGCTAAAGATTTATCAAACAAGACATCCTGATATTAATGCTAGTGCATACTCAACATTTGCATTACTAGCTGTTGTAATTATGGTGGGCATGATTGGAGTACTTAATGGTAAACTGTACTTTTGGATCGGATTCACTTTCGTCCATCTACTGACCTGCTTGGCTCTAAGTCTTCAGATTTATTACATGGGCAGATGGAAATTTAGTAAGTACTGTTCTTTAATGATAATTCACTGCAAATAAGCTTATCACACATTTATTTGCAGTACAATGTTATCATAAGAGTTATACTTGAGATAATTATCTTTTATTACAGATTTGGGTATTTTCAAGAGAGTATTTTCATTGATTTGCCATGATTTAAGGGCCAGCCCTTTACATTGCATCACTCCTATGTACCCAAATAGGATGGTACTTTTGATTTTAGGTATGTTTCTGAAAAATCAAGTACCATTTTGGTACGTAATGAAGTGTATTATATGACCTTCCCTTTTAGGATATGTGGAAAGTCGGGCAGTTGAATATTTCACTAACACACAAATGTATCCATTCATGATGTGAAATACTTTGGGTTTTGGAAGAAGACTGTCTCTGTACATTACATTATATTCCTGAATAAATTCATGGTGAATTCCTTTTTGTGAAATTAAAAAAACAAATTGCAAATACAATGAGGTTAAATAAATTTTAATAACCAAATAAAATTTGGTTTGTTGAGGCATTAGTCATCAAAACTCCTCCAATTATTTTCAATGTTATGGTTTAATGGGATGAAATAATTTTTTGCCTTGTGAAGTAAATATGAGTGTGTGTTCTGTGGTTAACTAGAAGTTTTATTAAAAATAATAAATATTGTATGTTGGGTTGCAGTTTTGAAATGTGCACAATTTATTTAAATTTATACAATGTTATTTAAATTTTTACTAAGATTAAAATTTTTGTTTTTAGTATACAAATGAATTATTAGGTGTTTCTTTCAGGTAATGCAGCCAATTGGGCGTTGGCTATCTACGGCTTAATGTATCATCTAAAAGATTTTGCTACATACCTTCTGTCAATATTCATGGCAAATTTATTATTATATACCATGTTCTACATAGTCATGAAGGTAATTATGTAAGAACCTAATGTTACAGAACTTATACATTGTTAAAATTAAGCAGAGAATTTACTTTGGTACACACACACAACAAATATTTATAAGTATCCCCTTTTCAAATTTATGTCAATATTAAATTATTATGTTAAGGAGCTTACTAGTGAAGTAAATGAAACAATAGAACATTATTCCAAAGTAACTGCTTCTAGCGGTTTGTTCTCCTTTGTTGTATTCTGCTTCGCTCTCTTCTGAAAACTTATTTTACTAACAATGAAGAAGTGTAACTTCAAATTCCTGTACATACTGTACAAACCATAATAGCATTTACTGATGTCTGTAATTTTCTTTTAGGTTGGAAAATTGAAGTCTTTGAATGTGAAAATATGAAATATTAATATAAACCATTAATATAAATGAAGGATAATATTTTCTTATTACCCTTCTTTATATTAGTAGTTTATATTAATATTTCATATTCATATTTTCACATTCTTTAAAAAATAGTCTTTACAAAATGATTGAAAGGTTTATCTTCAATTTCTGGCTTCAGTTGTTTCATTTTTAATAAATAACTGATTACAATTTTTTTGTCTCAATAAGTTTCTGTTAAATATTCATACTTATAAATACTCCTTGAATTATTATATTATTATTATTATTATTATTATTATTATTATTATTATTTTCATTTTCTCGTTGCCTTTCTCTTTTATGTGATGAAAATATTTTACACAGTTTGTAATATAATACTGAAATCTATTAATTGTTAATTTTAATCTAGTTCTTCATTCAAATTTTTAAACAAATATTGGTGAAACAAGAACCCGAACAGAATCAATTGTTTTGGTCATGATATAGAGAAGAACTGCTGATATATACTAAATATTTCTATATACTTCAGAAAATTGTGTATGAATACATATTTTTGCTGATATTAGTGCCATTGATTCTTATTGATGAATAATTCTGTGTTCTTTTTTATGCAGCTGTGCTACCGTGAGAAAATTCTTCCTCAACCTCTTATCTACATAATACTTGCGTGTGTTGCATGGGGTGCAGCCCTTTATTTCTTTTTGAATAAATCAATAAGCTGGGCTGTAAGTACCCTAATTTTAATGTTGCAGTAACATTTGCTCTTGTACATTAGATGCACAGTCACATCATACATAAGCTCAGTAATTTATATATTGTGGTTTCTAATTCTTTGGCATCATTGATTTGTTTCAGTTAACACCGGCCGAATCAAAATATTACAATAAACCATGCATACTGTTTCGCTTTTATGATAACCATGATATATGGCATTTTCTGTCTGGAGGCAGTATGTTCTTCTCCTTCATGGTGAGTTTCTCAAATTTTGTTATTATTTGTGAATTGTGCCATGAAAATTCTCTTAAATCATATTGTTTGTACATCATAATTATTGGCTTTTATCATTTTTTTGCCTCCTACAATATCGCTTTCTATTTTGTTGTGTTCATTCTTGCCATTTGTATTTATTTCTTCAATTTAATTTACTTATAGCCTTCTCTGAAGGCTTTTCAAAATTGTACATTTTTACTATGAACATCTTGAATCTAATCTTACTGTTTTAACACTTAACACATTTTGAAACTATTTTTTGTGGTAGGTGTTGCTGACACTTGATGATGATTTGATACTTGTTCATCGGAGTAGGATACCTGTATTTTGATACCGTGAAGAATTGTGCTTTTCTGTAACTTGTGAAATGAATAACCCATGAATGCTGCTTTATTGAAGATGAACATCAATATGAAAACAGCTTCTGTTGCTTCAGTTTTTCAGTATTTATCTTGGAAATGGTTGAAGTTTACACCATAGCTCCTATTGTCAAAAGAAGGATGTTAAAATTAACCAAAGATATAATCAGCAAAATTATGATTCATGGATGTTCCCTGTTCATCACTGACTTTCAAAATTATCACGACCAAATATGTGAGGAGAGGTGTGTGTGTGTGTTTAGAAACAAAATTGTTATCTTATAAGTGATCATAGCCTGATAATATTTAATTTTGTAATTTTCTATTTGTTTATGATTTGTATTATTAATTTTTTTATCATGAAAAGAAGCATTTGTTATGCTAGAAGGTGACATGAATTTAAGTATAATGTTTTTAACATGCTCATGGAATTGTACAATACATGTATTTATGAATAATTTTTTGTTTGTAGTAGTTATGTGGTTCATAATACTCTGCATTTATTGGTTCATGTACTTTTGATTTAGAAAATTAAGCAAATTTTTTAATCATTTTAATGATACAAAAATGACGTACATGCTGTGTGATAATGAACTGCTCATTTTGTCTTTTCTCAATATTCTTCAGACTTTGAGTAAAGTGTATATACATGGTTTGATTTTTAGTGATCAGTAAAAATGTGGTAGGTGTATCGCATTTTATTGAGCATTCAAAATGCGTGTTTACTGTGATAACGCAAAAATATTTTATATTTTTTGTGGAGCATACATATATATATCATTATTAGGTTTTTATATAATAGAAATGAATGCTTATGAACACATTTTAAAGAATGTATATTGTAAGTAAACAAACTGCTTGTTCCTACCCATTTTGTTGAGAATATAAGCTTAAAAATGTGGTTAATCTGTGATCTGTTGAATAATTGTATTAAAATCATAAGTAAAGAAAGATACTTCAAAATGTTTTTCAGCTGTAATAATTCACATATCTTTATTTTCTTTGCATCAGTTCAAAAACATCTGAATAATTTTAACTCTCAATTTTTTGAATGAATTGATAAGAAATATTAAATAAGAAATCTCATATGATGCATTAACTCTTTAGTATGTGAATGTACATTGATATAAAATGCATATAAAAGTTGGCCCTGAGGATACTCGTCTCTCATTTTCTTTTAATTGTAATTTGGAATAAGTTTGTTGCCACACCAGTTCCTCAGTAGGCAAATTCATTCTTTTGAAACATCAGAGAAGTAATGAATTCATAGCGATACTATGTAGTTCGAAACATCATCTAAATCATATGGATTGACAAAATCTTTATGATCAATTTTATAAAATGCAGAATGTTTACATTATTGATCTTCCAGGAATGTGATATGTAAATAAAGCCATATATGTTTACCATGTACAGATTTTTAAGAGTCTTTGAAATCTAAATAAAAAAAAAGCGGAAGATTCATATTTACAGATTTTTGTTTCTATTCAAAAAGCAGTGTTAACTTAGTTTTGTTCTTATTTTACTAACATTTCCTTTTTCTGTCATTGGATGTGGTTATAATTTTAAATTTCATCAGATTTCTGATTCATTTTTCCCCCTCTTCAAATCAATTTACTAGAAAATATTTATTACTGATTTGTCTGCTGTATTTTTGTTAAAATACAAAATTTATTTACTTGCATTTTAATTCATCTAGCAAAGACCTTTAACAATGGCAGGAGGAGTAAAGTAATTTTGTTTGGTTTTCTATATCAACACATTGTCTGTGCATGGAATAACATGTGTGTTCATTTCATACTTTTATGACAAATTTGATCTTCCATGATCAAAAAATAATATTCTTGTAGTTGGTAAGTTTAGAAGAAAATCAATGTCATATAAGCTATTTTGAATATTTGCAGCACACTAGACTCCATAATTCCCAAAAAGCAAAAATTGAACAAAATGTTTTATTGGTTTCCCACTCAATTACAAGTATTTAATGATGAGTTATTTTTGTAATTGATATATATATAATTAAATTCCATTTTTAATACAAATGACCTCACAAAAGTTTTTGTATACTAGTAATAGCAACAGAACTGCAAAATCAAGACATGGTATTAAGGATTTTGCTTATTGAAGTTCCTTATCAACTTACTGTCTTGCCATTAAATATAGTCATTTTGTCCATGACTTCTTTGATAGAATTAAGTGATTTCTCAATGCTTTATGCACAGGGTGAAAGTTTATCAGTTTGTGATTTGACAGGGGATCATTCCATGCTAGATAGTTTCAAATCCCCTGCTTGACAAGAATTAACTTGTCCCCACAATAAATCCTCATGTATGATTTTCACTCTGTGAAATGTTTAAATCAATCTAACACTCCCAAGAGCATTCTTTCAATTTATTCAGACTTCCGTGTTAGTTCAGTTGATGAATGGTCAATTTTTACCCTCTGGAGTCCCCTTGACAAATTTATCAATTCGTACCCTGATTGTATTGTAATCAAATCATCATTTCAAATGCTGTTAGGTAAGGCTTGTGAGTACTGAAATGCTGTGGTCTTCACCCTAGCAGTTGAATATTTTTAGTGACTAGTGGAAATGCCTGCCTTGAGTAATCAAAACAAAGATTTGAAAGAAAATGGGGAAAAACATTGAGATTTGATCAGAAGAAAATTGTTACATGAAGATTTGTTTAATTGAAGAAAGTATTTCTTGTGGTATCTTCTGTCTGTGCTTATGTTCTGCAAATATTATTTCCATTTGTTATCATTGTCATACTTTTTATATCTCCAAGTAAGAGAAGTAATATATTTTCTTCATTACCATCATGTTTATTTCTCTTATCTCTATTTCTATTGTTATATAATTCATTACGATATACAATACCATTATCCATTTCAACGGAATTTTCTTGAAGAAAATGTATGTTAATTTAAAAAGTTGTTCTTTGTGTGTTATATATATATTTTATGAGTGCTTGATAAAATTCATTTTTATAATAGTTTGTTGTATATGTATTATTTTATATGTAATTGACTAATGAAGGTGCTTTGTCTATGAAGGAAGTAAACTGACAGAAATATTATGAAAAAGAAATACAGTAAGTCTTTGAAAACAAATTGATTGCAGCATGAGGAAGTTTTCTCTCAAAAATGTGTTACATTTGTTTCCAAAAGAATAAAAAATTAATAGCACATTTTTATAAAATAAAGACCTATACAATTTTTAATACCTAGGTTTTGTTTGCATCATTTTGTGAATTCTTGCCTGCAGTATAAATTAAAAATTAGGGAGATTTTAAATTGAATATGTACGTTTAATATTATATTTAATATTATTCACTAGATGCAAAGAAAATATTTGGAAACATGTCACACAATACTGAAGGTTCATGCAATAAACAGTATTATGTTCGTAATGGTAATAAATTACCATAAAGCAATTTAAAATCAAATTCAACTTGAATTATAGAAAGGCTCTAAAATTTTCAAACACTAATACAGCAACATACTCTTGCCATAAGAATTTGTTTCTCAGATTGGTTTGAGAAGGTTTCTCTAAAGTATATTTTTTCTTATTATTTTCAATTTAATATGTTACATTAGGAACTTCCTTTTTGTTTTGTTTACAATATTTACTGCCTGTAATTTTTTTTATTACTTAAACTATTTTAATTCAATATAACTTTTCAGAAAACCAAAGTTATGAAGTTAAACGAAGGAAACAATTTAATGAGAGATTGTTTTCTCTAAACTAGGATCTTTGCCTTCTTGTACAGGAACTCTTCAAATTAATTGTCACAAATTTTACATTTGGAAGTGTTTGTTCAATTTTTTCCTCAAAAGAAAATTGTACTTGCTTTGAAAATTAGTTTTACTGAATCCAATGTAGCTTATTGAGGTAGGGCACTTGGTATGCAAGTTTATTTGATGAAAAATAATTTAGTTTTCTTACGATTCTAGTCAGTAACTAATTGTATGAATTATGATTTTTTTATGTAATGAAATATGTGTATGGTAAAATTTACATTGTAATTATACTATTAAAATTTTGGGACGAAACATTTTAACAGATGAATAAATGTGCTCAAATAATTATATGACAGTTGTCTTTATTCTCTACTTATAGGCAAAATGTATATACATATATTTCAGTGCCTAATAAGGACATTTCAATTGTATAATTGATAAATTGCGATCTTCATGGGTTGTATTTGTACTCTGTACTCTGGCGCTTCTAGATTGAAAATAATTCAGGGCCAACGACTCGTCTTGCATTAAATGACGAGCGCGGTAAGTGCTTAGTATTACGAATCTCACATAGATGGCAGAAGTGTTCCCGGGAGTTGTTGACTGGTTCTGGTGTGGTTGGCAGTGTGGTTGAACTGGAGTGATCAAGTCGGTTTCTTGCGGAGGAAGTGTTGTGTTTCCAATTGTGCCCCTTCAGTTATAGTTGCGAAGCTATGGTGCTAGTGGGTTGTCGTGTATTATCGGTGTGTATGAAGGTCCCAATTGTTGTGGTGCAGTGATAAAGGATGTGCAGGCGTGAAGAAAGATGATCAGCAGTCAGTAGGTGAGTAAACGGAGAATGTGAGCTGTGTAACGAAAGTAGTGTAGTGTGCTTTGTGTCTTGTTTTGGAGTCGCGCGCTCCAAGCGACGTCCAACTCGATTTCTCTCGCAGTTTTTGTTCGTAAGTTTGGTAATATACAGTATTGTTGCAGAATGGTTTGTAACAATGTTTGGTGATTTCTTGGACAAATAGACTAGTTTGATTTCTGCTTTGTTGAATTTTCTGAATAAAGGTTTAAAATGAATGTTTTTTAGCTCTAGCGATTTTTCATTGTTTTTTTTCTGACTATACAGTAAATATATTTGTTCACAGTTAAAAATCCCGGAACATTACTCTTTAATTTTTAAAATTTTTAATACGAGTAAAAGGTGCAGCTCATAGCGCGCCGATTGTTAGGAGCAGAACCATTGTTGACAAGATGTTGAACCACGTTTTTAATTGAAAACAAGTAAATTCACATATTTGTCAAAAGAGTTGAAATATTAAATATTTTCTGTTTCAAAAGGTCCAAGTTTTATTAGACGACTTTGTGTTGTTTTTCTTTTGTTGGCATTCATGGGGTGTACTTACGTATGCATGCCGCCTCCCCGATCCACCTGCCACTTCCTTCGTCGGCATACTTCCTGATGTATAGATTATCCGTGAGTCTGCGAGGAGCATCATAACAGCGAGTCGGCGTCATCCGGTCGAACGGGCGTCGTAAGACGGAGTCGGTCCTCCACCGTCAGTCTCCGGAGAATTGTGGCGGTCGCACCCTCGTGCGCGAGGCCTGAGTCAAGAGGGCAGAATATTGTCGGTGAATGCTACCCGAGTCGTAGCGTCCAGGCAGGACCCTCCGCTCCGTCGCCGCCTCCGCTGCCGAGTTACGCGCGGTCGACCTTGCGGGCAGGGGGAGGAGGAGGAGGAGGGTCGGCCGGTGCAGGCGGTGCGGCGGACGGGTCGAGGTCCATGCCCTGCCGCGGCCCACGCCACCGTCACCGTCACCGTCACCGTCGCGTCGCCGCCGCTGCCACCGACACCAAGTTGACGTATTGGTGCTTCTGGGCATTAGCAAACTTCGCAGAGGCTGTCGCCATGGAGAGTTGAACGGATGAAGCCTGGTCGTGTATTCGTCTACCAATCGCGCGAAGGCACTCGCATTTGGATGTCTAAAAAAGATGCAAGCAGCGCGCAATTTGCGCCTTTTCGGCCACTTGAATTTACTCTACAGATTCACAAGGGCCATATGAACTCGGTTTGAGGCTCCAAATTGTGCAAGTTATTGCCAAACGGTGGTTGTCAGCTGCTTCAGTTCACCAGCAGTTGTTTACTATGAATGTGAAGACCAGAATGTGATTTAATTAACAATTTCGTCTTAATGGCCCTATTGAGATCACCTGTCCTACCCAGAAGAGGGGGGGGGGGCATGAAGACGTAAGCCTTTTTTCTTCCGTCGTCGGTCTCGCTTGAACGAGAATGACACTCCTCTTGCACACAGCGTTTTCTTTGCGGACGGTTTGATGAAGGTGGACAATCTCAACCATTCACCGTCGTGTTGCGCAATCTAATAGGTTTTAGTTATATGTAGGGTTCCCGAGACCTATCCGTGTGTCTCGAGAGTCTTAAGCGTGATTCAACCCTACTTATGACTTGTATATATATTCTATCTTCCCACAAAGAGAAGAGCTGCTGTTGTGGGGGTACCTGGGGTCATCAGGCTTGATCCCGACAGCAACGCAGTGTTGTGGCGTCCAGAGGCATGGGTCTCCAGTAGTGCATTTGAGGGATTAGGGTACGTTTTAGACAAACACCTGTGGGATCGAACGAATTTAACCGCGGGACCAACACTCCCGTGGATATATCATCTCCGCTCTCATTCATCTTTTGGAACTATCCTAATTTCCTGAGTGACATTGATATTCTGGGCTTGTTCAACGACGGCGTAGGCACATGTGTCCCGCACCGCAACCAACGCCGCCGCCTTGAATCGCCCGTCCTTCCATCGGCGCACCCTCCACCCTCCCGTCGACGACGCGCTCTGCGTTGTCCGGCAGCAAATTCCGAAAGCGAGCCGTGCGACGCGAGCTGCATTCACTTCCGACGCACGTGGCGAGACAGGCGCCCCCGCGCTCGGAAAAAGCTGGACCGGTCCCGTGTCGGCCGAGTGGCGCGACGAGGCGGCGGGACACAGCAGCTTCCTGGTCCCCATCCTGCCCTTTTTCGGGCCGCCACGCCACGCCGTCCCCGGGTCGTGTCAGCACGCGACGTTGCGACAGCCCTGGGCGCGGTCGCGGACGTCCGAGGAAATGCGTATCGCGGTGACCACGTCGGTGACGCGCGTCCTGGTCAGTCCGCAGACCGCGACGATGCGATGCGACGCGATGCAATGCGACGCGACGCGACGTGATCCGATTCGACGCGACGTGTTGCGATGCGATCCGATCGGATGCGACGCGACGCGATTCTATCCGATCCGATGCGAAGCGAAGCGAAGCAATTCGACGTGATCCGATGCGACGCGACGTGTTGCTACGCGACGCGTTGTGATCCGATGCGATGCGACGCGACGCGATCCGATCCGATCCGATGCTATGCGATGCGACGTTCCACACGTCCGAACGCTGCGGGTTGCATTGGCACTCGGGGAAATACACGGCTTTTCGGCGAGAAGTGGCGGGTTGCGGGTGGCGGGGTGTTTAAATTTAATATTAATGTAGTACTTATTTTTGGAAATCCCAACGAAATTCGTGATTTGTTGATTGTGTTGGGCGTATTTGAAAATGTAATGCTGTCTGGACAGTTGTACGCGTTTCTCTCAATCGCAGAATCTAATATCCATTCGATGTCGTCTGGCACATTACTCGTTTTTTAAACAATCTTAAGATATGTTGAGAACCATAACTTAGTAAGTGATCTCTTTATGTCGAAGCAGTAAGGATCATCTTTCTCCACAACTTATTTTACTAGCGTCTTCAGTTCCTCTACAGGTCAAGTCTAGGAAATGAACAATCATAAGACCGGGTTTACTCATGTCGTATGGCTCATGTTACATTCTCTTTCAGCTAGCCCTAGAGCACGTGGTCCTGCCCAGGTTGCTCCGACATTATTCATAATGTACGGTTGGTCTTTACTTAGATAATTGTTTTATTCTAATTGATTTTATCTACTTCCGTTGCATATAATGGTGCATACACTCGTACACATTTTCACTTTTATTCTAAAGTACTGCAGATGTGGTTCAGTGACTCCAGCTGTTGAAGGATTCCTAAACCCCAATAAAAAAATCTACTGAATAAAGTAAATTTACGTAATTAATTTTCCCTAGACTTAAAACTGTCTAAAATTGTAGAGAATATACTTTTTTCTACTGGGATAATTCATTACTGTGATCCCCATACTGATGCCCTCGAATTTTCTGCCCAGAAAACATTTCCTGTACTTCTCTCTCGGGACTCAAGAATGGATAGCAGCATTTCTGTAGTGGCAATGTAAAGTATTTTCTAGAGAGGATTCTCGGACGTGCTACACATTTCCTCTCTGCGGTGTATCTTTTAGAACATACTACTCGACCTTTAACATCTAAGAAAAATGATCCACCGCTTTCTATAAACTTCGAAATTATTTGCTCTATCCTTCCCTACTGCTATTGGGAGAAAAAAAACAAGCAACGATGATAATATTTGTAATATCGACCACATAATGAGAATTTCATTATAAGGTTACGGTTTGCTTCGTAACGTATCTCATATCAGATTTTATTAAAAATCTTACATTTTACAAATCCGAAAATCAATTTACAAGAGCATATGAAGAAAAACGTCTATTCAGAACGATAACATTGTTTTTATTTGACAGGAAGTGAGAAATAGAAGAGTTGTTAATGCGTTTTGCTGAAACCAGTTGGCGATAAACGCGATGTATTATATTATGACTTGATTCGTTCTAAGGCCTGGCTCGACCGCGATCAATTTGTTCCTTGGACGTGATCGGGCATACGCATAGCCCATTTGAAATCCCGATTAAGAAATTCATCTAGTGCTGTGATACGGGTTGCTAGTCGACCGATTACTTTGTTGGTGCTTGTTTCTTCATTTCAGCTTGGGGTGAACATATGTTTAGTCTTTTAAGTTTCTTCTCCTTTTTTTGCAATATATTTTGTTAACTAAATATAAACAAAGGGACATAGTTAGATTTTTGTAGGCCCCGACGAGGTTTCAACGGGGTGTGTAATTGCGATTGACAAAAACAAAATCGGAAGTTGTAATCTAATTTATTTAGATTTACAGCCCATTATAAATTAGATTTGTGCTTTCGACTTTCTCAGACCTAGACTCCTTTTCTGAAAAGGAATTCGTAAACGTTTCGTCCGTCACCCAGTGAAGATCAAGTAGAACAAGCAACAACGCATATCGAATATTTCGTGAAACTTAAACAACTCAAATTGTTCGTATATTCGTTCTGTACTGTTGCTATTGAATTGCATAGTTACGAAAATATTTTTAAAATTCTTTTTTAAAATACGAGTCGTGTTCGCACGGAAGGTATCGCAT